CGGATAATGGGATGTCAGCCGAGACGCATCGTGAGAAAGTATATTTAATCCCAGGCTAGAAAGGGATATAAAGATACCATCTTTATCGTTTTATATTACGGTTTAATGCTGCACACATAGTTGTTTAAGTGTGACACTTAGTGTAGAATATATATTACATTTTTATACTAATATTAAAGAGGAAAAACTTGATTGTTTGTATTGAATAGGGTCCGAAAGTACTTAACCTATTTAAATAATTGTTTCACTATAAAGAAGCCACGTTATCCTTGGATGATACAGGCTATCTTTATTACTATATTTTTTAATTCCGCGCTGATTCTTGATCCTTTTTTTATACATTTACTGTAGTAATGAAAACTCATAGTAATAATATGAAAAAAATGAAATATCAATGGTGAGTGTATAATAAAAGCCGGTATAATGGCATTTTGATGAGAATATAAATGTCAAGGCTTGAATAAATAGTACTAATTGCATCACACAAACAAAGGTGGAATCAAGAAAGATGATACTTTATAACTGTTCCCTTAGAATTTAACTTAGTTGCACTTTTACCGTATGTTTCTGAGACGAAAAATCTCTGTATTTTTATACATTACTAATTAGAATCCTTTGGCGAGAATAGCGCGCTTTTACAAAGTCAAGTGTCAGAATTATTAGTGACGGGACATAAACGTCGACATTTTAGTAAAGCTGTTGCACCAGTACACCGGCAGTGTCGGATTCCTAACAATATAATATATCTCGTCATCCTTGTCCTTATCTTTTATCTTAGAAAACCACGGTTAGTTATATTGTCAATAGCGATTGTCAAGAACATTTTAATTTAACCAATTCCTTTAGACATAAATGCGATTAAATGTCATAGCAAGATTTTAAACAATCGTATTATTAATATAGCGAAAGACACAAATTTCCGTACTAATTATTTATAACAGCTAAAAGAAACTATCGGTCGTAGATTTTAACAACTCTTCAGACAATGGCAGAACGCCAGAAACAGAGGCCTATGTCATCGAGTACAAAGTGCAAAAAAAGCTCAGTACATTTTTGTATTGTAATATATAATCAGTATTTGATATTAAAATTAAAAGTATATAAGTTTAAGATATCTAATCATTTTACAAGGCTTATTACATTTAGTTCTTCAATTTTGAGAAGCGTAAATTTCAATTTTGAACCGTAACTAAGTAGGTAACTTCTTGAGCAATAATTTCTTAAATAAAAGATGACATTTAGTAATTATTTCTTGATAGAAATATTGTAATTGGTATTAACATTTCATTTCTTAAATCTTACTAATAATATAAATGTGAGAGTTTAGATGGATAGATGGATGGATGTTTGTTTGAAGGTATTTCCGGAACGGCTCAACGGATCTTGATGAATTTTGGGACTGATGTGGAACATAGCCTGGAAGACATATGCTACTTATTAAGTTTTTTTTTAATTCCACGAGGACGCAGTCACATGCTACAGCTAGTTTCTTAATTAAAAGATGAAATTTTGTAATTATTTCAAGATAGAAATAATGTTATTGAAATTTAATTCCGTAAATTAACAATTGTTCTATTGGTTTACAGAAATTAGGTTTTCATATAGAACATAGTTATCAGATGGCCGTCCTACGTCAATTCATTTTATGAAATACAAACATAAATAAAGTAACTATCGCATTTTAGTGGTTTAACCAAGATTAAATGTCGTTCACTTAACCTTTATGATATTGATAATCTATGATGAAATTAATTTGTACGATTACTACGTTTGAACTAACGATAGTTTAAAAAGTTTAATTTAATATTGACTAAAATAAATAATTTGTTGAATTTGCGCAATAACAATCCTAGTGACAATGTTGCTAAGCAATTTCATTGCGAAACTATATGTAGGCGTATCATTGAATTACAAATATAGGTACTTATGAACATAAACACGAGATATAAAATATAGAACTGGCAACACAGATTATTAAACTTTATAAAAAAAACAAAGCACATATAACGTGACTGTAGCATTGCTCAGTGACTTGTGACACAAATTGTGCATAGATTAGATAATAGGGATCTGATCCGAGGCGCATATAAACGTCATACTAATAACTACATGCAGTTATGTTTACCATAATTCTTTTACAATTTTAGGACAATACAGGCAGGGCCGCGGACGAGAGCGAAAGCGTGCCCGTGGTCCCGTCCCGATGCGTTGGAGGAACAGAGGGGTTTAGTGGGTATGCCTCCGCTATGGAGGAGAATCCCACATAACTACCGCGTCCCCCCCCCCCCGGGGGCGCGGAGTATGCATAAAGCATTCCCCTCTGAAAAAAAAAGGACAGTACAGGCAATGCAAACTCAATAATTTCTCTGTTTATATCTAAGTCACTCGGTAAAATGTTTTAAAAATATTAAGCACTTTAACAGTTTACCATATATCTCGTAAATTGATAATATAATAAGATTTTTCAATATAATATACCTTTCTAAAAATAAAATATGTATTATACAATTCTATGTACTACATTTGCAGATATTCACATGGTCACCCTATTCAATAGGATAAATTTAAAACAACAATTTGTATTTCTATTAACGCATCAATCGTATTGTTTACATGGACATATACATATAGTAAGTACAGTGCGGGTCACTGGTTCTAATGTTGATTGATTTGCTTACAATGCGACTGCATTACAGCAGGAATTAATGTAACGAGAATGTCCTTGATTATGTCATATGCTTTGTCAACACGATTGTACTTTGTCAATGACTAATAGTCGGTTTCGGAGATCGAACATGTATAAAACATATCGTCATCCCTCTCATTATCTTTGACAAAAAAGACAATATGTTTTCACGATAACTCAGTCAGAGACTTAAGCGGTCCTTAAGCGACTTATAACGTTTCTGAGTACTCGCTAAGATGCGCAGTTAGTGTACCTAGTTCTAGTTCCCTTGCTCTTATAGAGAACAGGAAATTTAATTGCCGGTTATTATGAATTTTGCAGTGGCATGAATGGATGTCTCGACCAAAGTATACGCGCTTACATAAAACCAGTTGTATGAAGTATTTATTCGTGAAATTCAACTGTCTCTATTTGTTCAAAAGATAATGAAAGGGACGACAATATGTTTCATACAAGACTGGAAATGGAAATCTTATATTTCGAGTTTTGAATGAAAAGAACTTTCTGTCCGTTAAAGGGCTTGACCGATTATTAGTAACATTCGAAGACCCCAAAGATTAACACGACAGATGTTTATCTCGTAGTTAATATTTAGTTAAATAGTATTTAACTTTAAATATATCAGATTTGGAAGTGATTAGCGAATCTCTAACATAAAACCAAGCGTGCCAAGGCAACGTATTCAAGTCGTTTGTAGCGGTGAACAAGTTTTACTAATTTGTAATGTAACGAGTTGGAACTGTTGTAGATCGAATGGTGTAATTTGTTCGAGTTGTTCGCTAAATATAAGTGCGTAGAATGTTTACACTTCGTTAAATTTCTATTAGGAATAAGATGTTTTCGTATGAAAGGTTTTCGGAAATATCCTTGAAATAGAATTCAGATGGAAAATTACCCTAATTGCTCCAATTAAGTTCAAAAAATCTAAACTCTATCAACAAAATTGTACAGACTTTTTTGGCGAAAATAATAAAAAAATTGTGCAAAAACCAAAGAAAGACAAATAATTTTTTTATTCGTAAAGAAAAAAAAACCCAAAAAAAATATTACAGATTACAGTAGATATAGTAGTTTTCAGATATCGTGGCGGCTCATAAATTCGCATAAGTACCTAAGTGCGCACAACACAATTTTAGTTGTGTTGGGCGCAGAGACGCGCGCGGGGGGCACAGCGCAGCGCGCACATGACTTCGGACCGCTAAGATATTTTAATAGAACTATACTGTAGTTTTTCTGTTTTCCAAATGCATTTGAAATGGATTTAGTTAAATTTGAGTCATAAATCTAAATACGAAAGGTCAGATCACACTGAATGGGTTTAGTTGTACAGTAATATTTATTCGTTACATTAGTGCGTTACGTTCGGCTTGGTGCGCTGGCTGGCGGCCAGTTTACAATTTACGCGTCCGTTGGTTAATATTAAATATAGGTTTGACGCGGATTTAGATCAAAGTTTCGCGTCGAGACGGACGCGTTGTATTTGTTCTTTAATTTTAATTAAAATATTATACTGTTACATACAAAACGACTGAATATTTGTGTTACTATAATAGCTCAATTTGCAACTAATTTTTTTTAATGGCGAGACTATAGCGAGAAAGTCGGAATATATGTATATTGTTTGTTTACATTTCGTAACAAGAAATGGATGTAAGGAAGGAATTATTTTTAAATTTTTCTTAGATTAGTAATAAGAGAAAAACTGCAGATGCAGCTGTTCGTTTCCGAGCTTTAATGACCGCTAGACGAATCCTAACTTTGAAAATATTGATGATACCGTGGGAAGTGGGAAATTCGTTTGAGATATTAACCGTAATAATTATTACAGACTAGTTTTGCCCCTGACTTCTTCTAAGCGGAATAAAAAAACTTTATAAGTAGGCTATGTGTTATTCCAGACTATGTTTTACATCTATGCCAAATTTCTTGAGATCCGTTCATCCAAAAGTCCGTTCATAAGAAGACAGATAACGAAAATACCATCATCTTACTATCCTCATCACACACACGTAGGGTAGATGTACCAGTTTTCGGCCACTCAATCTTCCGTCATTTTAATCGTATTAGTAGACATTCAATATTGATTATACTAAATCATACTTCATACTAATATTATAAATGTTTGGATGTCTATCCATCCAAAGTTTGTGAGAAGTATCATCGGAACGGCTGAACAGATCTAGATAAAATTTGGCAAAGATGTTAAACGTAGCCTGAAAGAACATATAGGATACTTATTAAGTTTTTTTTAATTCCACACTTATGGAGTCGCGGGATAGAGCTAGTTAGTAATTATGATGATATGATGACTAACCTGCGTCTCCAACAGCCTGGCTGAGCGTGTTCTCGGTGACGGGGCGCAGCGCCTCCACCGCGCTGATGTACCCCAGACGGTCAGCTATCGCGCACGCAGTCTGCCCACTCTGTGATACAACGCTTAATTACACTCACAGACCTTTAATGGTTACTTAAGTAAACCATAAGTATACATTTTTGGTAGTCAATGTTCACTAAAGACTATATTAGTGATCACTTAAAGACTGTGAGTAGTCATTCATTTCAGTGAATTCTTCATGCTAGATATTTAAGATGAACTGATCGTTAGTTAAATAAAGATTTAAAGAAAATTATGGAACCTGCACATATCTGTGAAGAAATTCAAAGATATGTGTGAAGTCAATACGCACTGGGCTATGGTTGACTATGACCTAGTCACTGACTTAGGGCTCCGAGCCCCCTCACTGGTGACGTACAGTGAGCTGATGAAAGAAAATAAATAACTTACTGCAGACAATGCGTTGGGGTCAGCATTATTCTTAAGCAATAATTGTATGACCAGTGTGTGTCCTTGTTGTGCTGCTTGGTGTAGAGGTGTGAATCTGAAGACAAACCCTCATATTGTATGGACATAAAGATACAACTCCTTAATAATAACACAAATAGAAAAAAGAAATATTAAGACTGAATTGTAAACTTGATATTTTTATAAACCAAAAGACTAATATTATAAATGCGAATGTTTAGATGGATGAATGGGCGGATATTTGCTTGAAGGTATCTCCAGAACGGCTGAACGGATCTGGATCAAATTTGGCATACATATAAAATATAGTCTGGAAGAACACATAGGCTTCTAAGTTTTTTCTATTCTTAACTAAGCCATATTTCATGTATTCTACAAATAAAGTAATTTTCCATGTTATTGTTTATACAGCATGGATAAAACAGTAGGAACAACTTTACAGACATGTCATTTTTGTCGGTAAAGCAGCACAGTGTCGGTAAAACAGTGGTTACCCGTGTGCAGCGCGCGCTGTGACGTCAGCGCCGGAGTCCAGCAGCGCACGCGCAGCCGCCAGGTGTGCGTGGTGCGCGGCCGCGTGCAGCGGAGTGTACCCGTCTCGAGTACGTGCTCCACAGCGTCCTCCCGCTGCTAAGAGTGCCTTCAGTACCGCTGTACGACCCTCAGAAGCCGCTAAGTGGACTGGTGTTAGACCTATAGGATAATTAAATAAACATTGGCACATTCATACAAAATATTTACAACAAAGTAATAGCATAAGAGCGTAGCTTATAGAATCGTAGGAACAGTTCAAACTGTCCAGTGATGACGTCATCGCAGTATAGCGCTCTCATGTATTCCCATGTTTGTCTCGTTCTAAAGCAACTTGACAAGCATTGTTCGTATGATTCCGGCTTGTTTAAATAAACCTTTTGATGAATTTAGTTTGCATTCTAGTTTCACTGTTTTTGATAATATTAATATTAATTATAAATGCGAATGATTGGATGGATCGATGTTTGTTTGAAAGTATCTCCAAAACGGCTGCTTGGATCTCGCTGAAATTTAACAAGTTCTGGAAGAACACATAGGCTACTTATTAAGCTTTTTTTTATTCCGCGCGGACGAAATCGGAGGCGACAGCTAGTATTATTATGTACTGAAAAAATATATATAATACATGAAATAGGTACCATTGTTAGCTGGGACATTAACATCAGCACCGCGTTCAATGAGCATCTCTACGCAGTCCTCGTGTCCCTCCTGCGCCGCCATGTGCAGCGGTGTGAAGCCCGCCTTAGACTTTACTCCTGGGTCTGCGTCTGTATACATTGTTATCGATAAATAATTCACACTTTTGAAATTTAATAATTAATGGAACCAAACTTTATTTTTTTACAAATATATGTACCTCAATTGCAACATTCCCTAACCTTAATTCTATAAATAATATTTACCATGTTCGAGAAGAGCAAAGGCTATATCTGGGTGGTTGTGTCGGCAGGCGATGTGCAGCGCGGAGTGACCATTCTTCGCCAGCGAGTGAGGAGAGGCACCTATACAAAAAAACCAAAGAGTGAGAGAGGCAAATATAAATATCAACGCTAACTGATATTTACAAATTTGAATCAGATCGCTAGTTCCGATCAAACTCGAAGGACCATAATTGTATTTAATGAAAGGCTTTATGAATTTTATTGTATTGAAATAAAGTTAGATAAATGCTAAAAGGCTGGCGGATAACGTAATTTTGACTGTGGACAATTAAAGAATCTGATAAGATCCGGGGGTGCAGCGAGCGAGGGCTGAAAGAGGCTCATCCTCAACCCTTCTGCGGGCGTGCAATAGTATTGAACCTATATTGCTCAAATTTCTACACATTCAATTATACCTTTATCGAGTAGCAGGAGGGCGATATCAGGATGTCCGTAGTAGGTGGCCATGTGCAGGGGCGTGATGTGACTCCGGCCCGGGGCGTCAGGCTGCGCCCCCCGCGCGAGCAGCAGGCGCGCTACACCGATGTCTCCGTACTTGGCCGCCAGGTGGAGCGGCGTGAAGCCCTTGCGGGTTTCAGCCTCGATGGGCGCGTTGTGGTCGAGGAGGATTGATGCTACTTCTTCTTTACCTATCATTTTGTAGTTACAAAAGGCATTAAAAATATATGAAAGAATACTTTGTTTTTTCTTAGTATGTGTCTACAGAAAAATCAACTTCTTTGTATTCTTTGCCAACTATTTATCCTTAAGTTAAAAAAGTTTACAGGTCAAACTTTTAGTAGGCTTCACCTCAATATAGTTTATTCCCTCTTCCCTATATTATAAATAGTCCTATTTGACTATGATACTACGCGGGACTTTACAGTCATCAATTGATGACAATGGCTTTGGCTTAAAGAACCTAAATCGTCTTTGTATATGTGTACCTTCCTTGGCGGCGATGTGCAGCGGCGTGTAGTGGTCTTTAGTGGTAGCGGCGACGTCAGCGCCGTGCTGCAGCAGCAGCGCCGCAATGTCCGCGTGACCGAGGCGCGCCGCCACGTGCAGGGGCGTCTGTTCCTCGCGCGCTCGGGCTTCCACCTGGTCATATAGGAAGTTATTTATCATAAATCACTCACTCACTAAGTTAACATCGCGGTTCTTAATTTGACACTTTAATTAATGAATATTACATTCTTAGGAAACCAGCCTACATATGTCGACGTCAAAGTTTTTGACGACTCAAGGTCAAATGGGCACACCTAAAATTTATCTGCGTAACGACTTCTATGAAGTTCTGAGCTGCCAAGATGTTTGATAACACCTATACATACTTTAGCGTTATTTCTCAGCAGCACTCTAACTAGATCAGTCTGGTGCGCACGCGCAGCCAGATGTAGGGGCGTTTCTCCGCGCGCGGTGGCGGCGTCAGCGTCTGCACCCGCGCCCACCAGCACCAGCGCTATGTTCATGCAGCCCATGAACGCCGCCACGTGCAGCGGCGTCAGACCAGACTCAGTTGTACTTGATTTACCTTTAAACATGTCAAAATGTATTAAAAATGTTACCCTCCCCATCCGTCCGAAATTAGAGGGGGCACGCCACCGTCCTCTCTAGCGTACTCGTAACCCTGTGGTTTATTCAAGGATCTTTATCAAGCCGGCGTTATGGAGTATGTTAGAACCATAAAGGCGGAGGCCTTACCTTAACCGGCCGACCTACAAGAAACGAAAACTCTATAAAAACCCGACATAGAAGTCGTAAAAACCTGACTTGGATACCTGACGACCTCCTCAATAAATAGCCTTACCCCCGGAACAGCCGTCACTCGGGGGCGGACCTCTAGATCAGCCTAACTCTCTATGGCGAGTCCTATGAGTTAGGCCGATTCATCATAGAAAACCATAACAAAACAATAACGAAGAGATGGAGAGGAAGAGAGACGGGGAGAGAAAGTGGCGAAGAGAGAGGAGGAGGATTTGTCTATTTCGGATATGTATTTTTTGGAAGAGGAGAGCTATTCGGTGGAGGAGACACCTGCACAGCAGCTGCGGAGCCGAATGTGGAAGGTTGAGTAGGCGCCAAAGATCGTCGTGAGGTAAACCTCAGATCTTGGGCTCGCAATGGCGACTGTGCCGGTGGCTAAGTGAGAGTGGGGGTCCTCCATCACCGACGCGAAAGGGGCGCTTCTCCGTGACTGAGCTACAGTAATTGGCCTAGCCACGAAGAACCAGAACAACGTCTACACGTGCGTGCGCGGGCGGGGTGGATCTTTGGTGAACGTTACGTTCGCCACCCCTGCCATCGGCGCACGCATGGCGTGTCCTGGAGGAGGTGGAGACCCTGTCCGGCCATTTGTATGTTCGGTTCAGGGTCTCCAACGCGCCCCACGGGCGTCAGGCCCGGAGAAGAGGAAGCTCTTTGGGGGGGCAAGCAGGGTTGGGGAAAGGCATGTCAGGTTCCGCCAAGATCTGACGGTCATCTGCGACGCCGGGTGCGAAGCTACGCGCCGAGGGAAAGCGTATACTGGTGGACACAGGACCTTACAGCCCTGCGTACCGCCAGTGAGGCCGTCCGGCGCGCCTTCACCCGGTGTCGAAGCCGTCGGCAGCGGCTGACCGGCGAGTTAGAGCGCCTCCAGGCTGAAGTGTGGGCAGCCAAGCAGAGGCTCACCGCCACCATCGGGGCCGCCAAGGACACTGCATATGCGGAGTTCTTGGCGAATCCTGATGTCGACCCTTGGGGGCGCCCCGTACCTTATGGTAACAGCAAAACTGATCAGGGCGCCCCCCACAGAGAATATGGAGCCGGCCGGCCTCAGCGCAGTTTTCGAGGGGATGTTCCCGGACAACCCCCCATTCGAACCATGCATGCCATCTCCAGATGCGGTGGAGGAGGAGGACGCCGTCCTAGATGCTCCACTGGTAAGAGGAGCAAAAGGCGACTGCCTGCTTTCCTGGGGAGTGAAAGGAGGGTCGGCTGGGGCATAAGGAAAGGGGGTGGACCCGCAGACACTCCTTCAGGGCACCACCACTAGTGATGCTGGTTGAGGCTGGGAAGTTACTGGAAAGGGTGGTGGCTTTATGCATCATCCAACATCTGGAGAGGGTTGGACCGCAAATCACCGGGAACCAATTCGGTTTCCGGTCGGGGCGATCGACTTAGGACGCCCTGACCGCTCTAAAAAGGTTCACCGAGGACGCGGCCCAGAGGGTCAGGGGTCATGGCGATATCGCTAGATATTGCCAATGCCTTCGGCTCCATCCCCTTCGCGAAGATAGAGGAGGCGCTCCGACACCATGGAGTTTCTTTCTATCTCCGGAGGGTTGTAGGGCACTACCTGCAGGGACGGGTGATGTTCGACATAGAGAGGAGCAGGAGAGATGGAAGGTGGATGGCCTACGGTGTTCCCCAGGGGTCTGTACTAGGACCCCTGCTATGGAACATCGGATTTGACTGGGCCATCCGCGGAGAGGTGGGAGAGGGAGGCGAATCGGAAGGGATGAGATGGCATCGTGCCACAGATGCGGCGACGAAGAGAACACGGCACAGCACACCTGTAAGGGTGCTGTGCATTGTCCGACGAGCGCCGCACCCTGGTGGCGACCTCTCACTCCCAGGCGTTATACGCACGACGCTGGGAAGTGAGAGGTCCTGGGAAGCCGTCGCCCCCTTCTGCGAAGTGGTGGTGTCGCAGAAGGAGGCACAGGAGTGGAAGCACGAAGGAGACCCCTGGCGTCCCCGCACCAGAGCAGACGAGTGGGGAGGCGAAGGCGGCAATATATCGCCGCCCAGGTCTCCCCACAACACTCCTAGGGCGCTGGATACGGGGGGATCGGGCGCCTGAGGCTGAAAGGTAGGCCCTGTAGTGGGATAGATACGTGCAATTTGCATCACGATGTTTTCTTTTACTGTAAGAAGGTAGAATACATTTTTAAAAATTAAATTCTAACATTTTTGACTATACTCTACTAGATAGATAAAGATAAACTCACTGGCACCATACTTCAAAAGCAGTTCGACAACTTTGAGCCTGTTCTTTTTACAGGCGATATGTAGAGGAGTGAAACCGTTCAGAGCTCGCGCGTTCGCGTCTGCGTTTCTGTCTAGTAAGAGCTTGGCCACCTGCAAATATAAATAAAAATACTAATGAATTATAATGTTTAAATCATTTTAAACTTTAACTTAACAATTATAACGTTTTTAGATGTCAATCATTTGGTTACTTAATTTGTAAGCTTCATTTTTTTGTTAAAGCACCTATTGTACATAAATATTTATATATCTCTGCCTTTTTATAGTCAATCAGAAGAATAAACTGACAATGTTAGCAAAAGTCAAACTAAATTATCATAGCTCACTAGCGCCCTCATGCCAATGTTAAGAAAGTATCACAATCCCAAGATCCTTTTCGTACTGTAGCTATCATATCATGTTTTTTTTTGCCATTTCATATTGGTATGTAGGTTGCACATGTTTTGTGATAGAACTAATAGCGACAGCAGCGCCTCTCATCAAGTCAGATATCCTTGACTATACAAATTCCTACAAGTTTTTCGTTTTTAGTCTGGATTTTAGTTAAAAAAATGAACACTAAGCGTGGATTAAAGCAAAGTACGTACTTTAACGTGTCCGCAGTGTGCGGCGACGTGCAGCGCGGTGAGGTAGTCCACGGTGACGTCATCAATGGGCGCGCCCTCCGACAGCAGCACTTTGGCCGTCTCCACGTGTTCGCCTTGCACGGACATGTGGAGAGGCGTCAGACCGTTCTGTAAATATATATTAAATATACATTATTATTTGTAAATTAGTTTTCACTCGGGAATCCATCACTCCAAAATAAAATAAAAAAACTCAATAAGTAGCCTCTGTAGAACACAGACTATGTTTTACATCTATGTAAAATTTCATCAAAATCCGTTTAGATATTACGGAGGTACCGAATTACAAACATTCGTACGATAACTAATGAAAATTGAAGCTGATAAACTGTAATTGAAACTCATAAACAAAGAGATGTTACTTTTTACAAGAGAAAATTTACACTGATTTATATTTTCATTTGAAATATAATTTTGTAAAATTATATTTGACTTACAACATTTTTTTTAAGATACTAGCGCCATCTATGTTCTATAACAAACACAATCTTAGACAACGGCGCAGTTTAAGATACTAAAAAGAAGTTACTTAGTACGAAAGTATTAACCTTAGTTTTACTAGTGATGGGCGCGCCGTGCTGCAGCAGTCGCGACACGACGTTGCTGTGTCCGGAGCGAGCCGCGCAGTGCAATGGCGTCAGACCATCCCTGGTCACTGACGCGATGTTGGCACCTGACAATATACAAATAAAACAATATTAATAATATTATTTACCTTTACTTTAAGCAAAGACTTTAAAATCTGCCTATACTTAGGTTTAATTATGATGCTTATTTAAATTTATTCCAGCAATAATCATCTTTGTGTCGCAAAGAACGAAAGAAAAGTCGGGAAGGGAAAAACTTAATCTGAATTCAAATTTTTCTACGAACACTTTTCCTTACAGAGGGCGCCACCAGTACCTTGTAATTTTTTTTTTTTAGTTCCTTTACCATTTTCAACCAGCAGATCGACCATAGCGAGCTGTCCCCACTTGCTGGCGACGTGTAGAGGTGTGATGTTGTGTTTAGCTGCGCGGCCCGAGTCCGCTCCAGCAGACAGCAGCGCCTTGGCCACGCCCACGTTGCCGTAGTGAGCCGCGATGTGCAGCGGAGTGAAGCCGGACTTCGAGCACGCGTCCGGATTATGTTCGTTCTGAAATTTATATGTGAATTATGATAAAATACATTTTAATGACATTTTTAGTTTTTTTTCAGTGCTATATACAATTTTTCGGTGTTTATAATTCCTACCAGCAATTGTAGAGGTATAGCAATTTAAAGGTATTGGCTCGGCTAAATATGACAAATTAAGACTAAAATATTTTTACAGCTCCCCAATACACATAACATTTTTAATGTTCTCTCTATTTCCTTATCTTTCGTTTCTTGATAGCATCAGTTAATAGATATTTCTGCTCTTCTATTAAAGACTTCTATGAAAGAAAGATCATGGGTCATGTTTTAAAGAGAGATTTTGATCTCAGAAACCAAGGTTTTTAACATGAATAGGATATTATAAAATAACCTCAAGCAGTAGCATCGCAGCTTTGACATCATTCTTCTTAGCGGCGATGTGTAGTGCGGGCAGGCGCACCTTGCCCCGCGTGTCTGACTCCAGCAGCTCGGCTACCACACGGTCATGGCCCTGCTGCATCGCCACCGCCAGCGGTGTGAACCCATCCTGGAATTTACAAAATGAAAAAACATAAAGAGAACTCATACAAAAGGGATTGTCATTTTATTAATACTTTTATGAAACTGAAATAAAATCTATTAACAATAAAAGCCTTTTTCTGTTCCTTTTCCTTTCATGTTTCTTCCCAATATCTTCTGAACTTTTTCCCTTACGTAATAGTGAATATACTATTTATTGTCTAGGGTATAAATAAAGTGCGTCGGCAATGAGACTAGCGCTTTTTGTTACATAGCTAGGAGTTCAATCCAGATTAGAAACCAATGTATCCTACCTCTGTGGCGAGTGTCTGGCTGGCTCCAGCAGCAAGCAGCATCTTGACACATCCAGCATGGTTCTCCTGCGCCGCCATGTACAGCGGTGTGAACCCTGCCGCGGATTGCGCGTCCGCCCGAGCGCCAGCACCGAGTAGTGCACGCGCGACATCCTCTTGTCCGGCCAAACATGCTATGTGGAGCGCTGTGTTTCCTAGAATATTTAAAACCAAGTGTCCACATTGTAGAAAAGTTTACATAAAAATTAATTGCCGTTTTTAATTTGAAAATAATAGGACAAACACAACAGAAATGATATGCTACTTTTTGAATAATAAAAGAATCGTCAAATTTGATCCACCAGGAGCTTAGAGGTAATAATACACATAAAAAACCGACGATTTTTTCTTCGTTTTCCGATTATTAGGGTCATCGTGTACAAGTGTCCAGTTCAGTTAATGCGTTCAATACATACTGTGAAAATGTTATCAAAGCATACTACTGTCCTTGCTTTCTTAAAGAGAAACACGTATTACGATCTGTCTTTATAAATGCATTTACAAATTAGATGATTAGTTAAAATGATGAGGTACCTCCAAAACATTTCATAATAATCTATCAACAGTTAACTTTCGAACGTGTTAACCAAAAATAGTTATACCTACACTTTATTACTGCTAAACTGGGAATCCTATAGATATTGAATTTACAATTAAAACAAACCTTTCTTTGTGGCAGCATCAACTGTGGCTCCTCGTTTGAGAAGTTCCTCTACAACAGAGATGTGACCGTCTTTTGCTGCTAAGTGCAATGCGTTGAGTCCATTCTGTAATATAAAGACGACATTAATTACATAGTTACCGTGACTATAAAATACTTAATTACTTTTAAAATTGTTGACTAAGACCAAATTCGGTTTAATCTCAAATAAATTAGTAAAATACCTAAACAAAAATGGATAGACGTAGATTGTTCGGCCATTCTCCAACTTGTTTTTTCTTTATCATCAACATACACACAATAAAAGCTATATTTACAAAATCTAATTTCCTTTTACACAATAAAACTTGTATCAAAAGTTATAAAAGAGGTTAACAAGGGATTTAACACGATATATTAAATCTCAGTTCGTAAATTAGTTTACTCGCGCTTCGGAGCGACGCAACCGCTACTAAATTGTGTCGGTAATTCCATTTTCCAACTACCGTCGCGAGCTTTGTGCGAGCTAACTAAGGGTACATAATATTTTCTGTTTTATTTGAATAAAGTTGCAAGTATAAAAATTTAAATAAGGAGACCAGATTCATAACAAAATATTCAGCCAAACCAATATTACAGATTTTTTTAAATAAAACAGTATTATTAAATTATATTTTCTCTATTAAATTAAATATTCAAGTTTCATACATGAATTTTAAACAAAGTAGTATAGTATGACAAAAGTGCAAGAAATACTAAAATATTTTCGTATCGTGATGAACCGTAATCTCGGTTTAATTAAAATCCCGTGAAACTTTGCACGCATATTGATCGTCATAATTCTTATGTTTCTCCGTTAGAACACATTTCATTGAACATTCGATGAAAAGAGTAACTGGCGCCCGCGACTTTGTCCGCTCGATTGGTTCATCTTACTAATATTATAAATGCGAATGTTTAGATGGATGGATGTTTGTTTTGAAGATATCTCCAGGACGGCTGTGGGGATATCGATGAAATTTGGCATGCATATAGAATATCGTTTGGAAGAAAACATAGGCTACTAATTATTTTTTTTTATTCCGCGCGGACGAAGTCGCAGAGGATCGTTAGTTTTTGAATAAAACTGACACACTATACGAAAACCATATGTTTTTCGCACTTAAACAGTGTAATATATTTTAAATTATTAAATTAATAAATATTTTGATCTTAATTAAAACGTACATTAAAGTATGTCAGTATTTTCCACGGGAATGTACGCAGATTAATAATGTTGATAAGATTCGTTCAAATTAAATTCGCGCATCACTTGCCCGCCCGGGGAAATATTCCTGTTACATTTTATGATTTAAAATATTGAAAGTAGAACATGAATATATCATAAATGTAATTATTCATTTTCATTAATTGTATATTCCAGAATTTCCTCATAAAAATTTGACAAATGCCCCGAAGAAAGAGTTCTCAAAGAAAGTCTTCATCTTTATATGCTCGTCTTAATATGACTTTACAGATGCGTCGACCAGCTATCTCCACACCGTCCTGTCTTCGGGTTCTCTCAGGGCAGTCGTGACATTGTCACAATATAGACTATATTTGATCGGACCAGCGGGGTAAATCGACTTATATTACCCAAGAAAACTGGGCGTGTAATCAAAAACCTTTAAGACTCCATCGACTATTCTTTGTAAAGCTACTTTAACAGTGGTGGCCTAGCTCGCCCGGTGAAATACCACGATCGCACAGAAGACACGTGTGGAGTGGAAGCAATTCCACGTGCAATCTGATGAGTGTGCGTCCCGGAGGCCTAATTTATTCCTCTCTCTCTTTCCATCGTTTTTCTTATAAGAAAACGATAGGAAGTATAAGTGGACTTTCCGGATGAGAGGATGCATGGAAAGGGAAAATATTTTCTTTCTTTGCATCCTCTCCTCCGTCGATTAAAGGTAGGCAACGCATAAGCAATTGCGTATGTCTATGGGCAACGGCCACTTTACTATTTCAGCGATTTCAGGTGGCCGCTCGCTCGTTTGCCACCTTATAATATAAAAAAAAAGTAAAGCTACATAGTTTAGTAATTATTTTTTATAATTGTAATTAATAAAGAGTTACGTAAAGGCAGTTGTAAAAGGATCCCGGAGACGCACGAGGCACGACGGGTGACAGTCGGCAGCCCGGAACGTATCAGCTAGATCGAAGGCCAACTACATTTGTGTCCAACATACAACGACATAGTATTATTTTTAAAATAGTGCGGCCATAGGAAAAAGTTTGATTGAGAAAAAAAGAGGGAATGCATCAAAATAAGTAATTAAAAGAAAAAATTACAATCAACTTGTTTTTTTTTTGTACTTTTTTTTATAACAGTAGGGGCAAACGAGCAGCGGGAACGCGGAGGTGTACAACGACGCCCATGGACATCAGCAATACGAGAGGAACCACAGATGCGTTGCTTTGATTTAAGTAATGAAAGAATTAATGGCAGGACTAACTCAGGACTTTTTTTAAATAATGTTTCAGAATAACCCATTGTTAGTAAAGATTCTATTCATTAAAAATAATTTGATTGCTTAGAAACTATTATCTTTGTTACACAATAGAAACTATAAAGATTTTAGTGTGAATCTTTTATCGAAAAAAATCCTCTTACGAAAACATGATATACGATAGAGATTCTTGTCTGTCTGTCTGTTCGCAAGTTCGCGTTTGTTCCGGGTAACGGCAGGACCGATTATGACGGTAAGGTAGCCGATGCATGCGTGCGCTGACGGAGTAGTGGGCGACCGCTAGTCTTCTTTGTAACGTTCCATTGTATTTCAAATTAAAGTAATTACATCGTATATATTTTCCCACATATTCTAAAAAGATAATTACGTATCAAAGAACATAAAACTTAAACTTTTTTAACGTAGTAACTCTATAATTGTTAGTCATATATTTTTTCGTTGCCTCTTAAGTGCCAAATCATTTTAGTTGTAACGTATAGTAAAGTAAAGTTTTTGCAGTTTTACAAACTTTAAAAAATGGTTTGACTCTACATTAAAAGTACCATGACCTCGTAGAATACAAGCTTAAAGTATAGGTAAGTAAAATACAGGGTGCATATAAAAAATAAATTTAACTAAATACATACGTCATTTTAACGTATTCCGATTGAAAAAAGGGCCTTGACAGGCAGACGGACGGACAACAAAGTGAGGGAAACAAATCCTATGAGGGCTCCGTTTTTTTCCTATGAGGTACGGAACCCTAAAAAGTAATTAAATGCTTCGGGACTTATTTCTTATTTAGTGTTCGAAACCTACACTCATTAATAATTTCGACGGCTAATACATAAATAGCAACACAATTTTTATAATAATTTCTAATCAAATTGATTACCTGTGGTAAGTTAAAACAAGTTAAATCTTGTCCATGTCTCATTTAAATCTCTTTTTAACCGTACTGATGGCGTAAAAACATTAGCATATAAAACCGATCAAGAGATAAGCTCAGTTCTACTCTAATTATCATGGTGCGGTTCCCACGCACTTATAGTTCAAAAATAAACCTTAACACACCTTCAAATGGAACTATATTTGAATGTACCGTATGGAATAACTGTTGAATGTAATGCGACAGGAAAGAACTGCATAGAACATTGCAATTTGTCTGCGCCTATCGTGATGACAATCTCTGTGAATTGTAGCTAATGCTAGATGTACAGAATAATTTACAAATTATGAAGCATACTGTATATCATTTTGGCATAGGCAGAAATTTGAGAATGCAATAAAAACAAGAGTGATCCAAACACGCCTTTATTCCTTCTAATCATTGCATTAAAAGATATGAATGTACTTTTTTATATAAGTAAGCAAACGAGCAGTTACCCTAAGACATCAACTTTAGAACATTGCAGAACCTTTCATGGACAGAGGAGGGACACACAGAAAAAGGATATTTCTCTTATATGTCGACGTTAAAAGTGCACATTTTACATACCGAGTTACAAGTATTAATGTCCTTGACGGCGCCTGAGTCCAGCAAATCAAGCACTGTATCGAGCTGGCCGGCGCGCGCCGCACGGAGGAACGCTGTGTTCGGTTCTATCTGAAAATTAAAAAAAAACAATTGTTACTTGATAGTTGCTAACGGATGTTTATTTTTTAAATGAAAGATATTTTTTGCTATTTAAAAGAATTAGGAGTAAATTCGTAAATAAAGGTATACTTTAAACGAGTTAAGTTGTAAAAAAGATAAGAACTTTAACTTTATTACGAGCATAACTTCAAAACTAGGCTACATCGGTTTTAACAATCTCTTAAGCGAATATCTTGCATTGCAGAAAATTAGATTTTCTTTGCAAAACTAATAATATTAAAAGGTTTTAAAAAGACTTATTTGATACTGAGTGAGATACTTGCAGTAATATCAAGCCGATGTAGTAAAAGATGACCTATATTCATTCAATATTTTCTTTAAAGCTTGCTTTAAAACGCAATTTTTTTGCCGTAAGAGTGTGCGCGTCATTATATGGAGTGTGTAAATGGATTGAAAACAAAATAAACCATCATAAGTCAAGCAATTTCGACTTTTTTAAAAGTTCAATAATCGAAGACGCTATATCGAGTGACGTTATACGGAGTTTTTCATTACTCTATTTTTTATAGTACATTATTGAGTACGAGTAGAATTAGGAGTGTACATAATACGGAACTGGATAATACAGGATGTACACCTGAGGATCTAACGTGACTCCGCGTCCCCTTACTCTAAATGACAATACAAGGTCAATGTTACATTGTAGGAACTACTTTCAAACGTACCGTCGACAAAACAAGCGATTAAAAACGCTCGTAAATTTCTTATACTATTCATAAGTTTAATATACAGAAGACAAATAGGAAAAAGATTTAATTCCTTTGCCTTTTTACTACTGCTATTGACTACAATTTCTATTTAAAAACAAAACGATATAAAATATTGAATGTTAAATATTTCGTAGTTAGCAAATACAAAAGATTGAAGATAAATAGTGAGAGCGCAGCTAAGCCAATCGATTGGACAAAGACAAGCTCATTGAAGAATGTAGGCAATGCCGGGAGATATAATTTGTATTGGCATACTTTACTGGATCATTGGAAACTGATAATTTCAATCTTTACAATTAATAAAATTAGACAGTTTGTATGTTACATCTAAATTTCGTGAACTTGATGTATTTGCGTTACTGATGACGATAAAACGTTTTTTAACATTTTTGTCTGTCTATCAGTGTGTCCGCACGGACGAGTTTGTTCCGGGTAATCCCCGGAACGGCTGGACCAATGTTGACAGAACTTTGACAGAAAGGTAGCGAATGCATGCAGGCATGTTATAGACACTCTTTCTCCACTGGATTTAGATTGGAAATATACCAACCAAAATATATATATTATTTCAAGATCGTTTAAAACAATATTGATTATCATGATTAAATATTGTAGATCTCTTTGATAATTTCGTTCCACAGAAAAGATAAAAATTTTATGAATTTGTTTCTAACATTTACAAACGACCCATCGTAACTGCGTCGTGAGGATATTAGCTATTATCATTCTATCATTGCTTATGCTAAATAGCGTAATTATTTCACACATCGTAATGTGTAAACGCAACAAAACTAATAGCTTTAAAACACGCGTTAATCAACTTTTTTCTAACAGAGTAGTTACGCTTCAATAAATTGAGCTTTACTATGAAATAAAAAAATGTGCAAAAACAAGCTGTCTCACGGTTCAGTAATTCGCAAATATAATGAAGCACGTACTATCTTACATTAGTACTTGGATTTGAAGCATTTGTTATAATTATATATAATGAATTTCTATTATTAGCTGGTAAGGACTTTTATATCTATATAATTTTGATACGAATTTCAATTCTTATGTTCGAGTCTTTTTGACCCTTGAAAGGTATACGATTTTAGAATTAACAAAGCTATCAGCATAAAAAAATAAAAGGTGATGTTCAAAATTTAAAATATTAATTTTATTCGCTTTTCCATTAGTAAAGAAATATTTAGAATTAATTGACGCCTTCATCAACCATCGGTTTACTTCCTCAAATCACTTCCAAAACGGATTTTATTTCACTAAAATTAGTGGCACACAACACATAGCACAATTGATTGAATCCTTTGCTAAACGAAATAACTCCAGCAAATTAAGCAAAAAAAAAAAGAAAATGTATTTTTCCCCCAAAATTAATTTACCAAGGTTTAAAAATTATACTTGGGATGGATGGTTTAATTATAATAGGTGTTCAAAGTTAATTAATTTAGCAATATCCAATAATATAACAACGCACCACTAGAGTAATGGAGTAGACACGTCTATCTAACGGACGTACGCGCGCGCCGCAGAACACCGCCATGGCGGGACTGAGCGTGCGCGTGCGCAGAATACGCTCACCTGTACCACTTCACGGGAAAATGCTTTACAGTTTACCTCTGTTCTTATGTGAGTTAGTGCTACAATTGATAACGTTAAATTAAGAGAATATAAACTTAATCTACTTTAGGCTTTTAAGGGATAAAAAAAGGATTAAACTTTTGGTTGTAAAGGAACGCAAATCAGAAATCTCATAGAATTTTAGTGAAATGGTTTTACTGTATCAGTAAAATTACACCTAAGAAATCCAGTTAGAAGAATTTAATTCCTAAGAAGAACAGTTAATTTTCTTTCAGCATAAGAAAACGGTGTATAAAAATATCATTATAAAATAAAACTTACATTTCATCAAATTACTAATCTAATAAACACTACTGCATTAAATAAAAAAACTTGATTAAATTTAGTTTTTGTTAACTAATAAACGATGACTAATTTATGTAGTAGGTACAAGAATAACACTATGAATTGCCAAAGTAATGTTAAAGACACTCCGAGTGTGGTTTAAGATACATATTAAATGGATTGTCGACAAAAAAAAAGAGTGGTATTAGATGAGAAGGTCAGTAGAAAGTGTTGCCATAGTACTGCAGTAACTCATCGTGAGCGAAGATCAGATTGACAGCTAATCTACTAAGGGCCGCTTAAAACATTGCAAGCTTAAAATGAAAGTCAAGATTCCGTTAACGTCACGCTAAAGAAAGGTCATGAAATCAATTCTGAAGCATAAACTAGACCCTTTAATATGTTTTAAATTAATGCGATATGTGAATAATAAAAATTTAATTGAAAATACAAGACGTAGACAAATCAGAACAAGATTTGAAATGGAATTGAAGAAACTCCAATGGTCCATTGGCAACAGAGCCTCGATTTAGAAATGCTTTGTCATGAAGACATGATGGCTATTATTAAATAGAACTAAGTCACGTTTAGCTTGTTACTTAGATATTAGTCGTGAATTCTGACGCGATTGTATATTTCTTACAAAAAGCTTTAACAAATTGTAAAACTACATAAAAAGCTATGAACCTTTTAATATCATTTATATTTTCATTGTTATATTAGATATTGATTTGTAGGAAGAGATGGATGGATTGCGTGAAAGGTGACATGATTAAGTAGAGGGCGACGACCGAGATGATGGCAGATATACTGATTTGGAGGACGGAAATCTGGTGAGCCGACTCTACGTAAGTGTACAAGGACAGGGACATGATGATGACATTACTTATTGGTTTCTGTAGCTTCATCTCTTACGTTTAATAGATATTTCTAACCAAGTATTTTCATGGAGTGTTTGTATTTTAATGTCTTTAAGGCGTCAAACCCCAAGGCACTATAGAAAACTGGGCAGTTTATCTTGCATCCGATGTAAACCAGACTACTAGTTTAAATTTCAATAACACATCATTTATGTGAAATGTACCACTTATTGTGCATACATAAACACAGAGTATAGTTTTTATTACCACTTGTAAACATCGATAGGTAAAAGATAAAATATGGCGTGTTTTAAATAAAAGTAATAGTCAAAAATACAGTTAAACACGCGTTTTGACCCCTTAACCGCCGCTAATTGATATTGTGTCAACACCCGAATTGGACTTTTTTTTGGAATAATACAGATATTTACGTTTACTGTACATTTCTCTTACTAAATCTTTCCTAGGGAACAGCTTAAGCAAGTAGTTAAAAAATCTAAGTGTGGTACTAAATATTTTAGTTTGTTCTAAGGTTATTTTTATTGACCTAAACACATTACATGCAGTAAATTATATTTTAAAGAAAATTTTATTAACCTAAATAGCTTCATACAACTTTATTGATCAATTAGTTGCAATAGGGAGTAGTTATGAATTGCTAAATTAGAAGACCATATGCTATGGTAAGAATAATAGGGTTGTGCTTTAATAAATTATTGTGTTATCGATAATTTCAACGTTATAGTTATGACAAGAATCTGCTAACTATATAAGTATTGTATTGTTAAATAAATAAAAAAAAAGAAAGAGTCCTTAATTATAAAAATTGTTTGTTCTATTTAGAAGTAACCTTTCAGTTCTATTATAATATAATACAACGTAATACTTCTATAAAAATGTATCGTCATCTCTCTTACTCTGTTTAAAAAACAAAGACAGCGATATTAAATTTTGATACGTACTTCTGAAGTTGAATTTCACGGTTATTTTTATAATCGATACAATTAAATTTCTTTGATCGATTTTTTATTACGCATGACATCCCTATCCATGGTAAGGTCAAGGTATCAATTGACAATGGTACCGGCAGCATTAACAGTTACCCAACAAGATCACGATAAAGACAGTTTCGTTCGTGTTGGAAAACGATTCACCCAATTTGTTATACAAGTCGTGAGTATCTTCTGATCTGCTCCAATTTAGTCAAATTATCAATATAAACATCTCGGAAGTATACGTAGAAATTTTTGGTAAGTAACGTTGTAATTGAACATTAAACAAGAACTAAATGTTACAAATAGAATTATACTAACAACTTAACCTGTATTTTATTGTAGACTTTTTAGCACTATTACTTATATTAAAGCACTCCAAAATAAAATAGTAACCTGAAGCAGTTGATAAGTGGTAAATTTTCACAAAATCCTTGTCAGAAACACATCCGAATAGTACAAAATGCAAGTATAAATTGGCC